GGCAGCGGGGTGGTGCTGCGGGGTCGGGGCGTTCTGGCCTTGTAGGAAGGGTCCTGTCTGTTCCTGTCACCTGCGGGACAGGCACTTGTCACCTGCAGTGTCCTGGGGTCCGTGCTGGGTGTAGTGCAGAACGTGGGAACGATCCTGGGTGTTAAAGGTGGTTGGTGCTTTGTGAAGCAGCACATCTGTGACGAACCCAGCCCCCCGTGCGAGCGCTGCTCTGCGAAGGTGCAGCAAAAGCTGCTTTTCCTCCTGACACAAAGTTCATCCCTGGTTTCCTCTCTGCTGTGGCTGAGGACGCTTGGCCCAAGGCAGATCTCTGCGCCTCAGCTTGCTGCCGGGGGTTCGTGAGGAGTCTCCAGCTCCGCAGAGCGGTGTGGGATGTTCACATGAACTCTTCCAGCTCTGCAGAGCGGTGTGGGTCCCCAGCTCGGGCCGTGGCAGGCAGCAGGTCGTGTTCACATGAACTCCTCCAGCTCTGCAGAGCGATGTGGGCCTGGGCTCGGGCCGTGGCAGGTCATGCTCATCGTGTTCGTATGGACTCCTCCAGCTCTCAGAGCTTCAGTGGTGTGTTTGTCTGCTTGGAGTTGTTTAAACCCCCCCAAAACTGAAGCCAAGCAAAAATGCTCCCTGACAAACAACCCCAGCAGAATGTCGTTACCTCTCAGTAATTCAGCCAATTAAGTTGTAATCCTTTCTGGTATGCTTGTGCTCTTTAGCTCCAGTCCAGCTCTGGACCGGCAGAGCTCTGTGGCTGGAGGAGGTTGCTGAAGTTTACTGCTCCACTTGTAACATCTCGGAGCAATTCTTTCTGTACTGGTGCCAGATCTGTCATGAGCACACAAGCAATTTTCTTCAGCTATTTTAGATCGGAACAACTGAGTTTATTTTGAGACAATTTGATCTGTTTTAGGCCGAAACAACAAACAAAACCACCCAAGGAAGTTATTCTGAGCAGCATGTGAAGGAGTTGGATCTGCATGACTTCGTGGAGCTTTCAGGCAGCGCGGACCGGCAGGAGCTGCTTGGGAAGAGTGATGCCGAGGGTGTTTGTGCCTCCTTTGCGTCGTTGGGCTCGATGAGAAATGAGTTAATGTGGTTGTGAGTCAGGAGTACAAAAATGTGGCGCAGAACATGTGGTAAAGTTTTCTGAAATGGAGGAAAGCCTCCATGATGCTCTTTGAAACCAGCGCTCAGCCTGCTGTGGAGTCTCGGCTTGGGCTGCTGCTTGCAGAGCACACCAGGGAGACGGGCTGGGCTAAACTGGCGTTTTTATTTTAATTTGACTTCTCCCGAACTGACACGAGCAAGGAAGCTCCGGGTACCGGGTGGTGCATTTTCCGTGCCCTCTGCTACGTGAGCAGACTGTGGGGCAGCAGCTGGGGTGCTGCTTGTCTGCCTGCTGTGCAGAGAACGCGAGGAAGAACTTCTGTAAGGTCTCTTGCCATTCTGTGTGCCTCGTGTCTCGCTTTCTGCTGGGTCTGTGTGCTCATCCTGGCTCTGAAGGTGCGTGCCAGAATTTTCTTTATCTGCCCTTCCAGGTTAAGCCGTGCCCTCCTTGTCTCTGTGGCTTTTGATGCCTCCGTAGCTTGAATTTGGAGGGTGGCTGCCGTGATGCACAAGCTGGATCATTTCGCTGTTGACTATTCAGGACGAGCTTGGTAGAAACTTCATTTTGCTTGTGCACAAAAAGTCATTTTAATTGGAAAAACTGCACTGTGATGCCCAAGTAGGCTCCTCGTGTGTACTGATTTAGTTCCGGATTGAAGCTTTTCGTTTCATTTGAATTCCCTGCTGCTTGCTGCTTAGCTTTAAAGAACAGCCTGTGACGTTGCTGGTGGTGATTCCTGGTAGGTTTTTTGTTTGCGCAGTTGAGCGTTTAAAACCCTGGGCAGCCCGGCGTGGCGGCCGGTGGGTGGGCGCAGTGCGGGCCGGCCGGAGCTGCGCGCCAGGGTGTTTGCACGCAGCCAGTGCAAGCGCCTGTTTTCCGCCTGGCTGCTTTCACAGGGACCGTTTGCTGA